GTTATACAGGGTGCCCAAAACAGACACTATTTACTACATTTGTCATTTTTATAGGAGGAGAATTTGTTTTAATGAAATATACTTTTTATACCAAAATATAGAAGAATATCAAAATCTGAGTAGAAAAGTGTTGATCTATATTAGCCCAAAACCTAATAATTTCTGAGTAATTTCACTTTATTTTTTGAAAATTTTTTTCAATCATTATTAAAATTACTCATTACTTATTAGATTTAAAGTTAATACAAATCAACACTTTTCTCCTCAGAGTTTGATATTCTTCCATATTTTGGTACAAAAAGCATAATATTCCATATAAAAATCACAAAATTACCCTTTCAAATCTCCAAAATATCTTCATCCATAAAAAAGACAAATGCACTGCATAGTGTACCCCTTCAAACCTTGCAACCTTTTTATACAAAATTTTTTCGAACATACTTTGGGAGTTACAGAAATACACAAGTTGCATAGACCACCCTATATATTACTTTAAAGTTTCATCGAAAGTGTTGAATAGCAGTTTTTGGGGGGTTGCAAACGCGAGTAAACGAGGGGGATTACGTCTCGTTTTCAAACATTTCGTCGCTACTGTTCTTGATGGAGGCGTCTCGACGCCGAATCACGGTACTCGAAAGTTTCCAAGTGCTTTACACCTCGGCAGAACGCCCACGAAACGACAAAATTCTTTCCCGACGGCGAAGGAGCTTCGTTCCAGCTTCCTCCCTCTTTCCGCCCTTAACGTCCTACCCCCACTGACAGAGGCCCTAGGAAAAGGAAACGCGACGCCCCATTACCGTTTTATGACGCAGCTTTGGTTACGTCTCGCGTTTCACCATTGAGCTGTTCGCACTACCAATAGTTTACTACATAAAGGCCACGACCGGCCCTCCGACGCTGCGTCGATTTATCTCGACGCGCGTCCCGCCGCACGGAAGCGCGCCGTCTACCTACAAAAATTACCCGCACATGCGCCAAACATCGACTATATACAATACGAAGCATAACTATAGCACCACTGACATTTACAACACGTTCACTGCCCGTGACCCATATATGGGTCACACCGCCACGCTATTGTATATGCCGCTGAGAAATCGGACAGTGAACGCCGTTGAGATTTTTGTAATTTAAAAGAAGAATTCAAAGAAAGTAATTGTATAGCATGAAGAAGTAAATAATGAACTTGAGACGAAGTATACTGTAATGGTTTGTGTATGTGTCAAGATAAAGTCGAAAAATTTTATGCAATCTGCAAAATATCATTTTTATTACGCTTTTGTTTGTTATAAAATTTTTACTTGACGCAAAATGAGATTGGCGAGATTTTCCTGATGAAAATGGATCCAAACACGACACCATTCGGACAATTTTTAATTATACGTAATTTGGGAATTTTTCAAAAATAATTTGAGTCGATCAAAATTAAAAGTTGTTCAAACTAGGTCGTGTTTGGACTCATTTTCATCGGGAGAATCTCGTCAATACATTGATAATACTCTCACCACATTTTAATCTGACCAACAATGTGATTTCCAGTAAAAGTTTAATTCTCATATTTAGTATTCTATAATTTAAGAATACAGTAACAATCTCTTGCAAAATGAGATTCGTAAGATTCTCCCGATGAAAATGAGTCCAAACACGACACCATTCGGACAATTTTTAATTATACGTAATTGAGAATTTTTTAAAACTAATTTGAGTGGATCAAAATTAAAAGTAGTCCAAACTAGGTCGTGTTTGGACTCATTTTCATCGGGAGAATCTCGTCAGTACATTGGTGATATTCTCACCACATTTGACTTAATTAGTATTTGATAAATAAAATACCATTTTTATTACGCTTCTGTTTGTTATAAAATTTTAATTTGATGCAAAATGAGATTGGCGAGATTTCCCCGATGAAAATGAGTCCAAACACGACACTATTCGGACAATTTTTAATTATACTTAATTGAGAATTTTTCAAAAATAATTTGAGTGCATCAAAATTAAAAGTAGTCCAAACTAGGTCGTGTTTGTACTCATTTTTATCGGGAGAATCTCACCAATACATTGATAATACTCTCACCACATTTTAATCTGACCATCAACATGAAATTCCTGTCGAAGAAGGATATTATTCCTAGCAGATGCTAGTGAGAAGTTAATATGGTATTGTTCTGTGAAAACATTAAATTACTAGTGTTAACGCGTTTGACTTCCCATTGACCCACATACGGGGATCAAATCGGTTCGAACTCGGGACAAGTATCGCGTATCCTGGCAATTTGAAAGATTTTAAAATTAATTATTTTTAATCAATTAGTCATTACTTTGAATTACACAGCTTGTACGTTAATCTGTGCCATTGAAATCGCCCTGACATAAACGCGACAGTAATTACTCGACGGACTGTAATATACCAGGTAATGGCGATTCTCTGGTTGCAAAGCAAAATGGTGGATTTGCAGATGAAAGAGAAAAACGATACAAACGCGACTTTGATGAAACAGATTGATTCTCATTATACATAATTCAAGTGTCATCGTGTATAACTTATTTATATTAGGTTCCATAAGTTCGTGCTCGTTCGATATTCCGAAATTGACGATAAAGTTTATAATTTAATAGAAAGTTAAACAAAATTTGTGAGGTCAGGGAATTTTTAAAATTTTAAACTAATATCAAGAATTCATAGAAATTTGAATAGACATTGTATCAAAGTTTAAAGTTTGGAATCCACACTGATTTATGGATCAAAATTCTCTTGATCGTGCTTGAGCCTAATTGCATGAATATTTTCATTAACATATAATAAAATTTTATAAGAAATAAAATACAACAATCTCCAGGCTTATTAAAGGGTAAACAATTTCAATATATGTTTTAACGAAAAACTTTGAACTACATTTTAATAAAAATATCAAAGGAGTTTTGTAGATACAATGGCTCTGCCAAAGAAAGGGGGGGGTTATTGATTTTCATAAAATTCCATTATGTGTTTAAAATATCATTGTGTAATACAAAACTCCAGCACGAACATATGGGACGACCAAATATTATCATTTTTCACCAGTAGCCAAATGTAAATAAACTATCATTAATTCTAATACTATAGAAATTTATAAAAATTAAAATTCAATAAATTAACACGTTTCCTTTTCACACCTACCAATTAATACAAATTCTAAATTAGGAGCAATGTGCTATGGGGGGACTTAATATTTATACTATATTTAAAATGGTTTGGTCCAAGATGGCGGTCGACGCGTGAACTCGAGGGAACAAAACTCGATCGTCGGTGGCCGTGCGTCTCGAGATCCAGACCTTGAAGCGCGACCATAAAAAAATGCACGGTTCACGGTTGCGAAAGGGGGTCGGAGGGGAGGTTCGGAGCCGCGTGGACGAACTACGGTCATGGGCGGAGCTCCGCACATGGGCCACCGTGCGTGTGCGTTCACCGGTGACACAGGGTAGGCCATGGGGAGGGACAGAGACGGAGGAGCCGCGCGTGCAAACGACCGAAGCGTTTGTTTCCACCGTGGACGACGAGGAACAATGCGTGAATAAAGTGGCCTTCCTCGTCGACCTTTTTTGCCCCGCGTCGGCTTCCTTAACGTCTCCGACTGAAGTTTCTCGGAACGAGCATGTGTGCGCACGCGCGCGGGGGTGACTCCTCGATCGGTCCCGGGGCCAAGGGTCACGAGATTTTTTGTCGAGGCTAACTTTTAAGACAATGGAGGAGGCCTCGAATGTGCTTCACGGTTGGAAACGCTTCGACGACTTTTCCCTTCGAAACGGAGATTTACGACCGCCGGGGTCCACGACGATTTTTCAGCGCGACACGTGCAGCTTTCGGGGAAAACACACATCGACACACGATTGTCGCGACGGGTTTCGAGCAACTCGTTCGAAACGTTTTTCTCAAAAATGTTTGTCGTGAAATCTGAATTCCTACCAAGGGCGCTCTCTCTAGCTCTCAACTATAGCAATTCCTCACATGATTGTACAATTAAAAATTCTTTAGTGACTTCATTATTGCACGAAAATCTTTTTTGCAAGTGAACATATAGCGATTAAAATTAGTAACTGCTTGCCTCGAATGAAAGTTTAGACAATTGGTTTTTTTAAAAATAAAAGTTTAAAAAGTATAGTATTTTGAAGAAAACCTTTTCATTCCAAAGAAAAATCTTATCTTCAAAATGCTACAGTTTCTAAAATTGTTCATGTTTACATATCAAAAATAATTTTGGCTTCAAAATGCTATAATTCTCGAAATTTTCCACATTTTTATAGCAAAAAAATTTTTTTTTTAATTTTTAAAAAATAAAATTTTGAAAACCATAATATTTTGAAGAAAGCATGTTTATACCAAATTTTATTAAAACTGATTGGTTTTTCCACTGATACTGAACCTATTTTCAACACAAAATATGGAAAATTTTTAAAACTATAGCATTTTGAAGTACATCAACATTTTTATACCAAAGAAAAGTTTTTTCTTTAAAATGCTATAGTTTCTAAAATTTGTCATATTTTTATGCCAAAAAAAGAAATTTGTTCATCAAAATGCTATAGTATTTAAAGTTTTCCATATTTTCATACGAAAAAAAATTAATTTATTCATCAAAATGCAATATTTTTTTTAATTTTCCATATTTTTATACAAAAAGAGAAATGTGTTCTTCAAAATATTCTAGCATATAAAATTTTCCATATTTTCATACCAAAAAAAAGAAATTTGTACATCAAAATGCTATATTTTTTAAATTTTCCATATTTTTATACAGAAAGAAAAATTTGTTCTTCAAAATGCTATAGTTTTCAAAATTTTATTTAAAAAAAATTAAAAAGTAAACTTTAATTGTAACGCTGTTACACGAGAATACCCCCTTAACTGTTTCGATTAAAAAATAATCATCAAAGTATTTACAAATTATATTGAGTCGCTGAGGCATTGAAAAAAGTTGGTCCCAAGCCTAGTTCCAACAAGAATCCTATATTTTTCGTTCCAGGGACATGTTACCGTTAAACTGCCAGGGCGGCGCAGCCAACGCGATGAGCAATTCCGTGAGCAACGGTGGTAGCATACAGTCGTTGCAGAGCATCGACTCGGACAGCCCGAATCTCGCGATGTCGCCGCTGTCGACGATGGGCATGTCACCGGTGGGCATGAACCCGTGCAGCCCGATGGGCATGAGTCCCATGGGCCCGCATCACCACGGATACGCGGCGCCCGTCACCCCGTCCTCCGTCCACCCCCATAACGGAGGCCTTAGCCCCATGAACGACGTCAAGGCCCTCTGCTACGGTCGCGGCGTTTACGAGACTGGTAAGTCAACCACGGAACGATACACACAACAATCTACGATAAATTTTATTCAGGAACGACGAACAACTATTTTTGATTCGTTCCTGAACCAACTTTTGTTCGAGGCTTTGTTTGGTTAACTATAAATATTTAAATACAGTCGAGTGTCAACACGTTCACTGCCCATGACCCATATATGGGTCATATCACCACGCTATTGGATACACCGCTGAGAGACCAGACAGTGAACGTGTTGATAACTTACATTGGGTCAAATTAGCCCGTTGAAAATCTTGATTAGTAATTTTTAAAAAATAGAATGATATTACTGGAATGAAAAATCTTGAGCTGAGGAAACAGCTACAATAAATTTTATTTACGAATAAAGAACAAAGATTTCAGACACGTTCCTGAATCAACTTTTGTTCGAGGCTTCGTTTGGTTAACTCTATAAATATTAAAATATATGTAGTCGAGTCTTAAGACGTTCACTGTCCATGACCTATATATGGGTCATATCACCACGCTATTGAATACACCGCTGAGAGACCCGACAGTGAACGTGTTGATAATTCACATTGGGTCAAATTAGCTTGTTGAATATGTTGATTAACAATTTTTTAAAAATAGAACGATATTACTGGAATGAAAAATATTATTGGAATGAAAAATCTTGAGCTGAGGAAACAGCTACGATAAATTTTATTTACGAATAAAGAACAAAGATTTTAGATTCGTTTCTGAAGTAACTTTTGTTCGAGGCTTCGTTTGGTTAACTCTATACATATTAAAATACAGTCGAGTTTTAATAAGTGACATTGGGTCAAATTTCTTTTCCATTAAAAATTTCAATTAACAATTTTTAAAAAATAGAGCAATATTACAGATTGAAACGAAGAAACTTGATTCGAATAATATTTTGCTCGTGTCTACTCTGCTTGAGCTGAGGAAACAACGTTGGGGATGGTTACGTATCACTTATCCGGGGTGAAATGTTTTCACTTAACCGAACATCACTACTGCGTGAAACTCGAGAAAATGCCCCTAGATGGAATTCAGATTTATTTTATTTTCTGTCAGGATTTCGTCTTACATAAAACGACTAGCAGCACTACCAACATGAAAACGCAATTTCTGGACGAGAATACAGATTTTTCTCACACCTTAAACATCTCTCAGAGACATTTTTCTATCATTTCTTGCAATACATTCGATTTAAAAAGACTTAAAGTATGTTCAAGAAACACATTGGCCAGCATTGCCGTTCTATTCATTTATGGCACTTACGTTACAAATTCTGAGTCTATTAACATTAGATTTACGGATGTTGAGTATATATTTATTTTTACTGAAGTGAGCCAATTTAATTCATACAACAAAATTGAAGTCGATGCACATGCTTGTTGTATTTTAATTTTTAAATCACTTATATCTATTCAAACTTTTTTTAATCCAGATCTTCTATGACCTTGAAGGTCATCATATAGTACATGAATGTAGAACACTAGATTTAGAGGCTACGCCAAATAAACTTATTTAAAATTTTATTTATGCAATATACGAAATTCTTTAACAATTTCTCATTTTAAATGAGTCTAATTAGCCTGTAAATCCAGTGTTAAACAATTTCACTCAACCCAGACCAATAACAACAACAATTAAACTTTTACCACTGAAATATCCTACAAACTATTACTCATTTCTAAATCTTTCTATCTGCCCACGGTTAGAGTTAGCACCACAATAGAACAATACCTCGTCTATGCCCTATTAATTTATATTATACTGCACATAATTCAAATACAATAAAGTATTATTGTGTAATAAACAATTATTGTACAATATTTTAGTGTATTTAGTATAATACTTTATGTAATTATATAATAATAAAATAAATTATTATCAGAATAATTATGTGCATTTTTTTGCACGTAATTCAAATACAATAATGTATTATTCTATAATAAATAATTATTGTATAATACTTTATTGTATTTGTATACGTTATTTCTATTATTATATAATATAATTGCATAATATTTTAGTGTATTTAGTACAATACTGTGCATTCTTTTTTACACATAATTCAAATAATGTATCTTGTTATTATATAATTATGTAAAGTATTATACTAAATACGCTTAAATATTATGCGATTATATTGCATTAAGTGTTATATAATAATAGAAATAATGTATACAAATGCAATAAAGTATTACACAATAATACTCTCGAGTCTCTAAACGTTCACTGTCCATGACCCACATATGGGTCATTATACAATAAAGTATTATACAATAATACTGTCGAGTCTCAAAAACGTTCACTGCCCGTGACCCACATATGGGTCATTATACAATAAAGTATTATACAATAATACTGTCGAGTCTCAAAAACGTTCACTGCCCGTGACCCACATATGGGTCATTATACAATAAAGTATTATACAATAATACTGTCGAGTCTCAAAAACGTTCACTGCCCGTGACCCACATATGGGTCATTATACAATAAAGTATACAATAATACTGTCGAGCCTCAAAACGTTCACTGTCCGTGATCCACATATGGGGCATTATACAATAAAGTATTATACAATAATACTATCGAGTCTCAAAAACGTTCACTGTCCGTGACCCACATATGGGTCATTATACAATAAAGTATTATACAATAATACTGTCGAGTCTCAAAAACGTTCACTGTCCGTGACCCACATATGGGTCATTATACAATAAAGTATACAATAATACTGTCGAGTCTCAAAAACGTTCACTGCCCGTGACCCACATATGGGTCATTATACAATAATACTTTATTGTATTCGTATATATTATTTCTATTATTATATAACATTTAACGCAATATATTCGCACAATATTTTAGCGTATTTGGTATAACACTTTCCTTAATAATATAATAACAAAATAAATCATTATGACACTAACTATGCGCATTTTTCCAGGTAAAGACGCAGAACAGAGCTCCGTCTACTACTCCACCCACTCGCCCATGCACCACCAATACTACCAACAGACGCACCATCAAATGATGACCAGCGCCCACCACCATCACCACCATCACCAACAAACCATGCCGGCCGGTTACGAGATCATGCTGCCGCCTCCGCAGCACTCGATGTGACCAACGGACTACGAGACCGATCGCAACGACGATCAACACGGCCAAAGCGACGACATATTCGCGCGTGTCCACGCGTTCGCCTGACTCCTCCACGTCCCCCACATCGAACACTGCAATCTCGATCGATCGACGAGCCAACTGACCATCTCTTAGACCATCGAACTTAACGAACGTCGTGAGAATTCCCGAATCGAGCTCGTCGTTCGCTACGAAGAAGACGATGAACGTTGGCGAAAGCGATTCGCGGAGGGCATCGCGCGATCATGGTGGTTCCGCGGGAACCATGGCTGCGATTCGTCGCCAATGGAAGGGCGAGAACGTCCGTAAAACATCTGGGTGGAGCTCGGAATGGGAAACTGGTTCCGCGCACCCTTCGAGCGATGGCGCGCTCGAGTTCAGCTGCTCCCCGGTTCTATGCTCGCGTAATGATCGCACAAAGGAGAGGAGCTCGTAAAAGATGTAAATCGATACCGCGGTACGTAGTGGAGAAGACCTCCTTCGGCAACGAACAGGAACATTTCGAAGCTCTCGAGAGATTTTCGTCGTACGCGGTGAACATCAGTGTCCAAATTTGTAAACAGAGAAAGTTGGGAAAGTTTGAACGTTTCTTCACCTATGAATCGTGTATTCGAGTGTACAAAAAAAGAAGTTCGTTTCGAAGTGTAAAATATATTTTTGATCGGGGAATCGCGTGCTGCGTGCATTTTGGACGATTCTGGGCGTCTCGAGAGAGAAAGGATGTATCCGCTTCGACGAGACATTAATTGTAAAATTATGTGATGCGCGTTGGATGTATAGAAAATAAAACATGGATGCGTGAATTATGTTACGTCTTTCTTTGCAACTCTATCTGCTGTGTTTTTTGAGAGAATTTATTTTTTAATTGTACATAAATGATGGTTTTTTTTTTTGAAAGAGATTTAGTTTGTAAGGAAGGATTATATGTTTGAGATTCTGTCGATTAAACTGTATTGCCAGAGGAAGATGCAAGTGATTTTCATTGGAGAAGCCAAAGTAGAAAAGAGGTTGTTAAGCCACTGTTGGACAATTGAATTGGAAATGACATAAAAATGTAGAAAAATTCGTTGAGTAGATGTAAACTAGTTTCGAATTTAGTATTAATATGAGACGTCTGAAATTATCTAAAGACAATAAATGTTTGAACAGACACTCCAGAATTAGTCCAAGGAGCTTGTTACACCATTCAGAGTATTATCAAAATGTAAATGAAAGAATTAAAATAGGGGATCGAAGAGAACAGTTAACTCTTATTTTGTTTAATTCTATTTATGGAGAAAAACTTTTTTATTGTGACCATAGGAATGTAATTAATTATTATCCTGCAAAGATGTGTTACCACTGATGAGGTATGAGCACAGACGAGGTATATGAATAGACCTTTCACCCAATGTAATTTTTCGGCCGGAGTTTTTGGGGTCCCGGTACCCCATTACCATTTTCGTATCACTCGCAACGTTATCAACAGATTTAGAAATTAACACAAGAGGAAGTGAGACGGAAAATAAAATTACATAAATTTTATTATTTTTTAACGGAATGAAAGCTGTATGGTCCAGAATTGAGCATCGATCGATCAATTTCATTGGAATAACCAATCGATCGAGATTATTTAAAGATTTCAAAATTATTAAAATACGTAAGGATCTCATTGATAAATACACCGCAGATCCTCTATTCTTTATTGTAAATTGTAATATATTATTTATTTAAAAACTAACTCGGCAACAAACGTATTTGCGACTCGAAATCAGTGTTATTAGACCGCACACCAGGACTAACAAGGTATGTGGAACTATAAGAAGAACGCAGCCATTAGCTCATATTATTTCCTATGTAATTAATAATCGTATTAATTACATACTAAATAATATGACCCAGGTCTCACCACGTGGAGGTTGCTGCGAGTGGAGACCCGAAGGGAGATAGATGGAATCAAAGTTCCATCGATCTCCCTTTTAGCTAAGCTTAGCTACCAAGTAATTATTTCGTTTAAAAAGGGATGAAGCTAAATTATGGGATACGCGACGCGATGCTGAACCGTGCAGCAGATCTTCGGATCGAATCAACACTGCCCTTGGTAGATTGATTCCTATTTCTAGTAATCGATCTATCATGGGTAGGCGACTAGATCTTTCGGACAAACTGGACGGCCGATCACATGTTTCGATCGATGAAACAGCGGTGATCGAAGCTAGGAACCAGAGAGTCGAGTGAAGCTACTTGTTAAATAATTACTTGGCAATATTGGGAGACGCATACAATAGGGACTTAAAATTAACGTCGAAGCTCAAGTCTGGTCAAGTTGAAACTAAAATTCGGACGATAGAAGGAAACAAAGTTCCTTGGATGTACCAAGCAATTATTTGGTTAAAAAGAGGGACGAAGTTAATTTGAGGGGCACGCGAAGCGACGCGACGCGACGCTGAACCGTGCAGCGGATCCGAGGATCGAACCTACTGCCCTTGCTAACTAGATCTCTACAGGATAACGGACGGCTGCGACTCCGAATCTAAGGTCTCCATTGCTCCAACGCAACCCGCCGGGAGCCCGAAGGACCCGACTCAAGTTGTCTGACAAAGAGAGAGTACCTCTGTTTCAGTGTCGACTTCCGCTGGAAGGTATGCGTTTCCGCAGGATACGGAAACTCCACACCTTCCAGCAGAGTACCATTTTCCCTGGATCGAGCTACCAATGGGAAGGCGGTTAGATCTGTCGGGCCAGCTACACGGCCGATCACATGTCTCAATCGATGAAACAGCGGTGACCGAAGCTAGGAACGAGGGAACGAGCGAGAGACAAGCTACTTATTGAATAATTGCTTGGTAGGACGCGGAGATACGTATAATAAAGAAGGCTTCGACGTTAATTTTAATACTCGCGACGAAGCTTAACACTTTACCGACCGGTAGCGGTTGATTAATCGGCTATCGGTCGGTATGCGTTGGTCGGTAAAAAAGTCGATTAATACGCTATCGGTCGGTAATGTGTTAAGACTAATCAACTTGCAATTAAAGGTCCCTCGGCGGTTGTGGCGTTCTCCCTCGATGTCCTTGCGATTAACCCAAATTTAAACTGAAATCAAAACTCATATGTATATTAGTGAGATATGGTAGGAAATTTAATAAACACTTTAAAATGATCTATCACCTAGCTAAAGGGAATTGAACAGAGTATATTAGCAAAATGTTACAAGAATTTTAGCTCAGAAGTAAGAATAAAGATCTTATATTAATCAGCGTCGAACAACGAACACGAACGAAAAAACGAGTCAGAGACATCGAAACAAATACGGTATATGCATCGACGCAATGTTATTCGTATCAAAACGAACACTCCTAATAATGAAAGAAACTTGGATCGAGGCACCAAGTTGAATCAACACCAAACGATCAAACGAAATGGAAGAATCGAACAAAGTACCTACGTAGAATATTACGAGAATTCGAGCAAGAACGTAAAAATGTGAATTCATGAATTTGTATAGAAACAAATATAGTGTATGATTGAAAACAATATTATATTATTATATCCTGCAATACTATACATATCAAAGCATTCACATAAATTCGACAAACAATGTAAAAGTAGAAACATAGAAAAGGAACATTCATAATAACCAAATAAAATCAGATAGATAAATACAGTTGAATTCACATCAAACAAACAAATGAAAATAATAAAATATAAATAAGTGGAGTGGACTTACTACTTGTTGTCAGTACATAGGGTAGTTACCATAAGGGCCAGCTGTAAAGTAAGAAAATATTCATATTATAGCAACATCGGTTGGATAAACAAGGCAAAATCAGTTCATTGTAGCAAAATTGGCATCAAATGATAGAATAGAAGAGGGGAGAGAAATTTTAAACAGTTCTTACCGTTGGTCATCACCGTCCGGCACTGGTCAGTAGTGGTCAGTAGTGGCAGGAACGCGAATCAGCACTGGTCAGTAGTGGTCAGTATTGGTCAGCCATGGTCAGCTGTGGTCAGCGGTGGCCAGTAGTGGTCAGCAGCGGCCAGCAGAGGTCAGCAGCGGTCCCCGGTTCTCCTCTGGCTATTCGTACACTCCCGAATTCGCGACGCGACTGAAGAAATCTTCGCAGTGACCCTGCTTATATGACTAAGGTGATGAAAGGGTGGGGAGACCAGTCAGAGACAAAGTTGAAGATAACAGGTAAGACTGTCTCGTCTACAAAGAAACTATTTCGATCGGTCCCACCTCTTGACCATTTCTGGATCTTCACTGGACCGCTGACCTTGATGTCCACCTCACTGTTGACCACCAGTGACCATAAACTAGTCATTGTTGATCATCGACCCATTAAAACCATTACGAAGATTAAAGCCTTCTTACGAGGATTCCCTTACAATTTGACGCATGATCTTTTTAACATTTTGTTCCATTTTGGAAGAGTGTATCTCGTTAATTTTTCTCTTTTTGTACGTCAGTTCGAACAATTGTCATACCGAGCGAAAAATTCGGAGGTGATTTCAACGTCCTCTTCTCATGGATGGCGGTCAGTTGAGAAATTATTCACCGAATTAGTATCGATAGGCAAACAGCTGTAGTTTTGCGTAAATCCATGTGAGTTGGCTATGAAAGGGATTAAAATTCATTTCTGAATCCGTTGGTAACGTTGCGAGTGACACAAAAATGGTAATGGGGGCCCCGGGACCCCAGAAACTCGGGCCGTAAAATTACATTAGGTGAAAGGTCTATTCATATACCTCGTCTGTGGTGAAAGCACAGACGAGATATATGAATAGACCTTTCACCTTATGGACTTTCGTGGCCGAATCTGACTGCCATACCGACCTGAAAATTCGGAGGTGATTTTAGCGGCCTCTTCTCATGGATAACGGTCAGTTGAGAAACTAACTGAATTAGCGCGATAGGCAGCAGCTAGTGCGCGTAAATGCATACCAATTGAAAAGTACGAATTATTCGCGATTCCTTGACTAGTTAAAGTTGTAAATAA